CTATATTCCCTTATAAAGTACTCAAACCACTCCATCATAGAACAGCTTCCTAGAATAATAATAATAATAATAATAATAATAATAATAATAATAAACACAACAACACAATCTATGTATCAAATGTGATCCTGATCAACAAACTCCCCTTTATATTAAAGGAAGCTTTAACAGTTTTCAAACTATATCTTAAATTCAATATTGTATTTCAGGGGCCTGGGTTGTGTGTGTGGCTGGGGAGAGGGGGTTAAAAGGATCTGGCTCCCCAAACTACTTCACTGATAAGAGGTAACTTTTGAGCAGGTAAGAAAAGCAAAGCAGCTCTGGGTTGGCATCCTGGTACTGTGGTTCTGTGACTTGGGAAACTCAAGTCTTCCTGGATTTAGTGTCTTCTTTCATAAAATGGATAGAATAAAAGTTACAGAATATTTGAAAAGGGTAAGATAAGGCTTGTCTTGGCTGACTAAATACCATTTTCTCTTCTAAAAGATATAAATATAAAATATATGGCAATATGAATATATGTAGGCATATATATGTTAACATATCTCTATATACACATATGTACATATCAATACAAATGTGTAAATCTATCAATCTATGAGTGCACACACACACACACATGTGCACGTGCACACACACATCCACAGCCACAAACATCCCCCAGCTCCTCTCTGTAGACAGTTCTGCACGTGCAGGTATAAAAGTGACAAATTGAGAAGGAATCTGGAGGGTGGCAGCTCTCTTACCAGCCCTTCCTGACTGTGGCTACCCTAAGAATTGTCCATGGTTCTTTCTCTATTTCCAACAAAAACCTTCAGTGGTTTTTATTGCCTGTTTCAGAGTTATTTTTCAAAGACCTGAGATATTTGTATTTATACTAACTCAGTCTACATAAGCGACTAAGGTAAAGAGCATTTTCAACAAATCTGTTTACTTCTTAAGATGGAAAAAAGCCATTGGGTGGATTCACAGAGCCCTACCCCCTACCCGCTCTACTTAAGGAAGCAGAGCTGAAACAGTCTGACCAAACTGGCACAGTAGTCAACTAATAAGACTGAGCTGGCTGTGGTAGCCCCTAAAGCTTCCTTTGAGGATGGAGCAGATCACACAGAGAACTGGAAAGGGAACTGAGTAAAAAGTCACCAGGAGCACCCCAATTTCATGGTATTATAATCACAGAAACCTAAACAGCAATAATTATAAAATGCAGAAACACCCACAATCAACTTTACCATGCCAATTCTACCACTAATTAACTGGGAAAGTACCTAAACAAATCTTATTTTCTAGTTCTTAAAAGTGCTAACACCTGCCTCACTTTTCCATGTATTCTTATTGAAATCCATAATTCTGGTCTCACCCTGAGAAATCCCTAGGAGAGCTCACCTTGAGCCATCCCAGAGAACATCTGACCAGTATCCTTAAACAGTGGCAAAGGTAGCACTTTCAATAGTGAAAACCAGAGAGTAATCCATTCTTGGAGAACACACAGCAATGAATTGTGGGATCCTGTATTTGATTCAGGATGAAATGATATGACTGCTGGAAAAACTGGCACAACTAGAATTTGGCTTATATCTAAGGCAACATCACTGCACAGATGTTGGGCTTAAGTTGTAATGATTGTGAGCATGTAAGACAAAGCAGAGCGCAGGCTAGAGAGGAAGTTCTTGAACTAATTCTGCAACTCTGGCAATCTTAATTTTAAAATTTAAAAGTTTTAATCATGAAACCAGAAATTTAAGACAGTGACCCTTTCTTCCTTTTGAAACACATTTCCTCCCTCTAACACAGTGGTTCTCAACCTTCCTAATGATTTGACCCCTTATTACAGTTCCTCATGTTGTGGTGACCCGCGAACAAAAAATTATTTTCATTGCTACTTCCTAAGTGTCAATTTGCTACTATTATAAATCATAATGTAACTATCTGATATGCAGATGGTCTTAGGCGACCCCTGTGAAAGGGGTCATGACCTACAGGCTGAAAACCGCTGATCTAATGGCTATGTTTTGACCATCAGCAGGAGAAAGAATAGGACAGTGTTGGCCAAATCTAGATTGTGGAGGGCTAGAAATGAAATGAGGACTTTCTATGTGTGGACTGGATGATTATAAATAGTCTTGGGAAAACCTTCTAACCAAGAATATTTCACTGTTTTCCAAATACAGTCATGAATGAGTGCTTAAAGAAGGACAGATGCTGTGTTTAGTCAATGATGACAGGCTTAAATGTTCCTAACACCATCAGTCTTTAAACATCACGTCAGATTTTCATTTCTCTGACTTTGTGATTACACTCCTCTCATCAGATTTCAACAGTCTTCTGTCAAGTAACACCTGACAAAATAAACCATTCCCGCACAAATTGTAGACATCCACAATGAATACGGTAGGGTGTGCTCTTATTCATACTTTCTTCCCCTATACCCTTCTTTAACACACTAAAGATTAAACCCAGGACCTCTCCCATACCAGGCAAGCACTAGCCACATGTCTAGGCCCTTTTTTGCTGTTCTGAGTTTGAGTTTACATGTAGCCTTGAGGAGTAAATACATCACACTTCTTATTTAAGACACTGCTAAAAAATTTCCCAAAGCATTAAAACAGACTAAGATTCACAGTGTGTTCAGTCAGTTTCCAACAAAACACACTGTGGCATATCCTTGTCTGCTCCCACCTCAGGGGGCAAGTGCACAGCCTAAACCAATAACCAAGTAACATAACCATTCCTCGGTTTTATAAAACCACCTATATGATAAATATGCATTTCTTTCTATTATAATATGCTCTTACAAAATAATGTTTTGTTTTCTACAATGGTTATGAGATGTAATAAAAATGTCCAGTGCAGCTGGTTTGAGAATCCAATTCTTTCTTCACATATTTCTGCATCTGCTCACAAAATCCCTTTGACTTCAAAGGACGCTTTTCAATAGAAAAAGAAGACACACACAGGAAGAGTGGCCATAAATTTTTAGGAGTCCTTTTCCAAGGCCACTTTAATAATGGCCATAGAGACTAGGTATCTCTTTCAGAAACCTAAAATGACCAAATAGCACCAGTGACTACAGGTCTGTAGGGAGATTTATGCTTTCAAATTTTCCTGTTATAAAAGTGATATATCTGCAATTTGAAACACACAAAACAAAGGCTTAACGCACACTTAAATTACTTTTAATCCACTATTTAGGACAAACAAAGCCCATCAAAAATGGTTGTTTTCCTTCCAGTATTTCTTCTATGTGTACATACTTAAGTATAAACACTACTGCAATCATATTCTGAGTACAGCATTTAATCTTTCCCATTAAGTCTTTCTGGAGAACTTCATTAGTGCTTTGGCACCTACGTCTTCCTGTATACTGGGCAAGCACCCTGCCACGTAGCTATCTTCTTAAGTTTTATTTTGAGACAAAGACTTTCACTTAATCACCCAGACTGGTTTTAAACTTGTGATCCTCTCCCCCCTGCTTCTGCCTCCAGAATAGCTGGGATTCTAGGCTCCTGCCATCAGACTGGGCTTGCCTTAATCTTTCATGCCATCATCTTTAACTGATATGCATATGGCACTACAGAAACATTTCATTCTTTTTATTTAAAGCTAAATCAAGAGTTTTAAAACAGTAATCTTTCCTACATATTCTTGATTGCATACACATGAATATGCCTATTATTCTGAACTTTATTTTCAGAATTTTATTCTGAAAAATAAAATTCCCAAACCTCAAGGAAAACAACATTTGATAATAAAAGCTGGAATCAATTCTTAACTAACACGGTTTCTTAAAATGTAAAGTAACATTTGAATAGTTGTTTGCTGAGTTTCCAGTATTGTGTCTTTTATTCTCATAGAATCTTGTGAGGTTTACAATAATGAAGAAGACAGAAGTTCAGAGAATGAGTAACTTATGGGATGATTCAAAATATAATATTACACGTTGGTTGTCATCTACTCTTGCTGGCTATGTTTTATCTCCATAGTCATGAACCCATAAGCTTCCCAGGCTTGGAAGTATATTAACATGCCAATCACTCCAATTCTCCTTCTATCCCATCTGCCCAGAGGATTGCAACTGGTTCTGTAACATAGCTAGCAAATGTCAGAGAAAGCCAGGAACTTTTAGGACCAGGCCAGCACGCTTTACAATAATACATCAGTTAGACCATGACATCCTCGTGTCATTTCTGTGTATTAATGGCTATGAATATGCAATGTGTAAAAATTACTTCATCACACAAGTTCAAATTTCCTTCCCGCTCTCAGACATTACTTCCGTGATCATCTATGTCAAACTGACATATTCTGGGATGCTTTGTGCTTGTCTGAACGAGTGAAAGCATATTCCCGGCCACCTTTTGACCTTGAGGGTAAAATGCAAATATAGCAGGTCTGGACATAACGCATCATGCTCAGCAGCACAGTCATGGCAACCGCAGAGCTGCCAGGCAAGCAACAGTATGAAGCACCTTGGCAGCTAGTTGCTGTTGGTTACAGGGCCTGTTAGATGCAGGTGACTAAGGATCACCGAATACTGACTCTTGCTCGCGTTCCACACACTAGCTACTGCACTAACCTCAACAACCCAATTCTAAGAAAACTCTCTGATTTCTCCGCTGCACCCGGAGTAGCTGTTAGGAGAAGAAGGCTAAAAACATAACAGAACGGTGAGCAGGAGAACTATCGCAGAGCAACTAGGTCTCTGATAACGTCAAGCTCTTTCAGAAGATGGCTCCCTCCGTTGCCTGGCAACACTGGCCACGTGGCCGGGCAGCGAGTGCTTTCCAGCAGCAGCACCTCCGCACCTCCTGCTGTCACGTGTGTGTGCAGCGTCGCTGCGCTCTGAGTTGTGGACAGTCAGAGGCTAGTGGACCTCGGAGAGAAAGTGTGGAGGGCTCTTTACAGGAAGTAAGAAGGGAGAAATAAGTGGAGGAAGGGATGGGGAGCGGGAAGGCGCTCGCAGGACCGGAGGCCTAAAGCAGAAGGCCGGCTCGGGTTACCTGCGGAGTAGCCGGAGTAGCTGCGGGTCCTTTATGAAGTGCCCGGATGAAGCGCCAGCATTCACGCGCCTTCCGCACGGAGCACAGCGCCATCTTGAGAAGGGCGGAGCCGCCGGCCTGGAATGACGTCTGCGGGAGAGCCGAAGTTGTGCTTACTGCGCATGCGTTTGTCTTCTGCTCTGCGGCTGGCTGAAGTAGCTCTGTAGGGTTGTTTCATAGGTTTGCAGAGCAGGTGCGCCTTGGAATGAGGTGGCCCAAGGCTTTAGTGTTTGTGCCAGCTTAATTGAGGGAGACTGTGTCCCGTCGGGCATAAGATGTTGCTCTTTAGACGTGGAAGTAAAGGAAATCACCCATCCTAAACCGAGGCTAAAAACAGACCCGAGGCTCCCGGAATAGTGCCGCCCACGGGTTTCCTTGGAGACCGAAGGTGGAGAAAATAGGTAATCTGCCACCCCGCAGTTTCGAAAAGCAGTCAATGACTGACGAAGCTGTACCCCACCACCTACTCTCTACTACAAAACGACGCGGCTTGCTCTTCTGTGCTCATTGATACTGAACCCAAGAGCATACACCTCTAAGACCAATAAAAGTCAGCTCTCAAGATTTTGAGGTTGAACTGGCTTTATTTTACTTTTTTTCCTCCATTGGCTTATTTCTTACAGGAAAAAAAAAAGTCAAGTAGGTTGATTTTTTTTTTTTTTTTTTTGGATCTAGCTATTAGATGCAGCTTTCCATTCGTGTCTCTTAAGAATGAAGCCTGCTTCTCTTAGAGGACCATAAGTGGCTTTTTGAGACCTATGTTGTGGTCATCGGGTCTGCAACTTTAGTGCCCTGAGTGAAACACTGACGGTACAAGGATATGTATATACCTTGCCTTCCGGAAGTGTGGAGTCTAATGGGTGCAGATAATGAATTATGCATACTAATGAGGTGCTATAGAAACAAGTACCACGTTCAGAGTGGACAATGCTTAGAGCTGCAGTACTTCACGGTGATTGCGTAACAACTTAACGACACCAGTGACGCCTGATGGAAGATGTTTTGTGTAAAAATGGTTGATTTCTCTCAGTGAACTGAAAACTCTCAGATTAAGAACCAGTATAAATAGAATGAGCAGATTTGGCTCAATCCCAGTGCATTTGTTATATTAGTCTAAGAAATATATACTGGAAATTATCAAGGAGCCATGGGAGGTAGGCTGTATGTGAGATGCCTGTACTCTTGGGGAGTTGAAATCTAAAGATAAGATAAAACTAACTCATACATAAAATCTTCGAAGCGAACAATTGCCCCTGAGTCATTGGAAGTGAACAAGAAAGGTACGAGAAAGAAAAGAACAGGTACGAGGTGGAGGAAGCTGAAGAAGCCATGGTTCCTCCCTCAGCAGAACACAGCAATATGATTTGTCATTAAAATTCAAGGTGCATGTATTTCCAGGTGCAATGCACTTTGACTTCATACCCGAGTATAGAGCCAGGAGACACGTAAGGTACAAAACATGGTAATAGAAGCCAAAAACTGAATCAACTAGATAGAATTTAGAATAAAAAGTGGTCAAATAATAGAAATAAAGTGGCCAGGAATTAACAGAAATCCCAAAGCACATAGTGTAGCCGAAGCCCAGGAGGCAGAGCTGGTCAGGAGAAGAGATAGACAACGGCTACTATAACATAGGATTTTATAAATACCTTAGGTATCTAGTCTTCAGATAGAAAGCAAAGTATTACTATTTGCATAGCTATATAATTAATTAGATTATAACCCTAGGAATTAACATTAGACTTCTAATGTTCTTAGCCATCCAGATTTCAGAATAAAAACCCTCGCAGAGAGACAACAGCGCCAATACTTTTTCAGAGTCTTCTGCCCAGGTGCCTATGACTAGTAACGTTTTAATGGGGGAATATCTTAAGGGTACATTCTCAGTAAAGACAGTTTATCAATACTCTACTTCAATACGGTATTATTTGAATAAATCATTTGCTGTAGTGACTCATCATAGGAAAACATCTCTCACATTATTATATAATATCCCTTACATACTTTTGCTGGACCTCACAGCTAAGTTAATAATACACCTTGAAGTCAATAAAGATTGCAATGCTTCTGTGCAGTCAGCCTGTTTAATCTGCTTTTAAGAGAACAAGAGAAGGAGGAAATGATATAATTCCGAAAAATAAAAAAGACAACAATGTAATAACTAACCTTACTTGCCTTGGATTTCCCATGCAGTCAACTTTTATAACCTGAGCTAATGCTTAGCTGTAATCTTAAGATAAATAACCTTCCATGCCTCTGACCTAGAGAGAAAAGTGGATAGTCTCTCTCTCTCTCTCTCTCTCTCTCTCTCTCTCTCTCTCTCTCTCTGTGTGTGTGTGTGTGTGAGTGTGATGTGGGAGTCATTTGTTGAAGCAACAAATTGGTTTGAAGCAACCTTGTAACAAATATACCACAAATGCTGGAAGCAGCACATAGCTGTGGCTTGAGGGATTTAGTTTCTAGCTGGGTCAGTTGCAATCAGTAAAGTTTCATCCTTTTAAAACTGTTGTTAAGGATTCTGTTAAAGTATCAATTCCTTCCCCATAAGATGCTTTTCTGTTTCAATAAATATAGAGCAAATGTTCTTTGCTAGGGACCCAAAGGCACAGGGATAGATTCCCACAACATCATTAAGACCGCCACAGATTCAGATTCATACAACAGACAGATTACAAAACACAAGGCAACAGAAAACATGGAGAAACCTGGACTCAGTCTGGGTAAGAGACTTATTTTTTGTTAATGTACCATCAGTGCATTTTCAGTACTTTGAGGTTATTATTTGCAGACTGTGAGATGTTGTTAGAGTTTAATTTTTTCTGCACCATAGTGGTAACTTTGTAACTCAAGGTGTCACTCAGCAGAGTTGTTGCATGGACAAGAACTATACAATATTTATTACACTATAAAATAGTCATGAACCTTTGGATTTTTCCAATCACTTAGGAAAGAATCTTGCACAGAGCATTTATATGTTTTAAATCTAAATTTTATTTTACCAACTTATATGACATAATTTTTAAAAAATCGGGATACTTTTAATGGTCAGAACCAACAACTGAAAGTAAAGACACAAGACCCATTAGAGCCAGTTCTATTTAGTTTTGTACTTTATTTTTATAACAGCATTTTAGTATTGAAGCAAGAATGACCAAAAAGCTGTCACCTTCTAAACCACCTTCTAAAAGGAGCAGAATACAGGGACTGCTTATTTAACAAATATCTTTAATAATAGTGACTGTGAATCTTTAAAAAGTTGTATAATTCACTTTAAAAGTGTTTTCATACAAAATAGTTAATATTTTTAAAAGGTTGCAATGCTAAACTTGATCATAATAGAAAACTTCTCTGAATTGTTTAAGAGACCCACTGTGTTTAATGACAGCATTTTACTTCTGGAATCATTTGAATGAGATGAAGTGTTTTCTTAAAATGAGAAATAAATTAATTGCTAGAGCAATCCTCATACATCCTTGAAATATTAAAGTTTTGCATTCTTAAACTTGTAGCACGTACCATGTGTGTCTACATGTGTTCATGCTTAGGAGTTTGAACACTTGTTTAAAATTTGATTTCTCATCAACACTTTTATTTTATAGTAAGTTCTGGTAATTTTGCTCTCTTCCTAACATTCCCAGAAAATTCTCTCTTGCAAGAAACAACAGATTAAAACCAGACTGGCAGTTGAGGAGCTGTTTCTATTGCAACCATGTGTGTCAAAAAGGAGGATTGGGTTTCCTCGTCCGAGAACATCAAGGGAACCCCACCTCAGCAGACGCACCTCTACTCCCCAGTAATGGAGAGTTTATACCTACTTAGATTTAAATGGGATAAGGGAAGAGTTTAAACCCATTCTTAGCTCTAGTATAATCAGCCCCCAAGTCTCAAAGTATCCAGTTCTGTTTCTTTAATTTAATTCTAAGTGTCAGGTTAGCATTAGGTGCTGATCAAGGTAATGGAGAGTCACCCTACACATTTATCCACTTAAAGAAGAATTCTGCATACTGTTAAAATTAGATGCCAACTGTATTCAAAACTTACTTTAAACATACGCCACTCATCCCAACCCTTTATGCTTATCGAGTATGCTTTCTTTCAATGTGGAGGAGGAGATTCCATAATAGAAAAAAAGGGATAATAATGGGAGTACAGCCACAAATCTCTGACCCTGCCATTTTACCCTGGACCGATTATATAGACAGAAATCAAAGCGATAAGTGGGGTCCTACCCCTGCATGAGATAATCACCATCCACATGATAGCACATGAGAAGCTGGTGACTTCTTTTTCAGCTTTGTCATCACCTTAGTTCTGTGACTCATTTCATAGAGAATGAAACTGGTCCACAGATAGTACTTGTCGCAAACCATTCGACAAATAAGAGCAAGAACACACACACACACACACACACACACACACACACCTCAATTTCATTTCCATATTAGTGTTCTGCTAAGAAAATTGAATTTAGATCTGTTCTAAGTGAGGAAAGGTTTGGTCTCCTCATATTAGAAGACACTCTTTCTCTAAGGTTGTTTTTTTTTTTTTTTTTTTTTTTGGTGAGGAGTGGGAGTGCATTGAAAATTATCTCATTATGAAAAAGCATTTTATTTTGTTAACTGTCTTTGAATGCTGTATTTCTTTCCAGATGGCATGGTACCAAAGACAAGATCTATACATGTTCTATTTTTAATCCACCCTTGGCTTGCAGTGACTTCGTAACTGGGCTGGGCAGGCTTCCTACTTCCCAACTGAGCATCTACACCGCAAACTTCGGTAAGATTCCCCTGAAAATGTTCCCTAGAAGCCAAGCATAGTAGCCCACACCTGCTAAGAATTCTACTCTGATTGTCGTAGGCAATCTCTAGGAAAGGGTCATTCCACTCCTACAGAGGTCCCACAGGTTGAGGACTGCTGATCTGGAATCTTCTCTGTTACTACTGAAACTCATGCAAATTGTTTATACCTGCATTTTCCTGGAGTTAAAACCAAGAGATTTTGATCTCTCTAAAAATAGTGTATCAACCTCATTCTGTTGCTGTCAAATTCCATCT